AGGTAATTCACAAGTAATTTTATATGTATAAACATATATAACTCATGAATATAAGTTCATCATGTATAATTTAGTCATATACATATAATTCATATATGCATATAATTCATAATTTACACATAAATTCCTAAATAAACACATTCATAAACAACTGCTAAACAAATTGTCATACACTAGGGCTGAGTCATCAAAAATTTTACTGGTAAGAGAGCATGGGCAGAAAAGTTCAGAGATCACTGCTCTGGAGACCATGCAATTGAGCATTTTTGAAAATTCTGAATGTGAAACTGAGCATTTTGAAATTGAGCATAATGGGTACAAAAAAATAACTGAAGACACATAACCTTTACGTGTATAGGACCAGACCCCACAATCCCGCTTCTACAAGATACACCACACTGCTGTCCACCAGTGCTCTGCCAATTACCTTATAAAAATGTCGAACGAGGTGAACACTTTCTTCTCTCGCGCCCTGTTAAAAGAGAAGGAAGGTGAGAAGGAGGCAGGTCTCCTGGATGTGAGTGCATTGGGCAAACTAAGAATTCCAAAGTCTGCATGTATATAAAACAGATGCTGGGCTAATATCCTTCCTGTATAAAGTGGGCCTTCATGAGAGAGAGGGAGGGAAACAGCTGAAAACGAAGATGGGGAAAGGACAGGCACTGCAGTGTAACAACGTGGAGAGTTGTTAACACACAGTTAAGTGCGGGTAAATGGGTTATAAACTATGGCCATTATGACTCCATTTTTATAAAACAAAAAACTCATCTGTAAGTGTGTGTGTATGTATGTGAGTGTGAATGTGTCTGCACAGACACACACCGATGTGTCGACTACAGTTGTTACTTTTTCCCTCTTCGCACTTCCTAAATTTTCTAAAATAAATATGGAAAATGAAGGGAGGCCATAAAAGCTATTGAAAACTTGATGAACATATACTTTAGCACAAAAAACTATAAGTAAATGTGTGTGTGTTTGTGTATGTGTGAAACTTTTGTAATATAAAAGGAAAAATTTAAAAATCCTAGGGACAAATATAGAAGCAAATAATTGTAACAGAAACTACTAAAATTCAGTAATTCAGTGAGCTTCTCGGCAGGTCTCAGCTGAAGAAAAGTTCGTTGAAGCAGGGTCACAGGGGACCAGCCCCGCTGCTTCCCACTGGTGACTAGGGACACCGTGGATGGGCCCCCATCCGGATGCCAGCAGCCCCCTCCCGACCTCCTCCCGCTCTCGTCAGCCACAGGGAGGAGGAGGGAAGGGGCCTCACCTCCAGGCAGGCCAGATGCACGTCCTTTATGATGCAGCCGGAGCCAGTCAGGACTTGCTGCTTCAGGAGCAGGCAGCTCAGCTCCAGGGTCGCCAGCCGGATCTTCCCGTCTGCAGAGCACACCAGGGTGAGCCTCGTACACCCACGGCAAAGTGCCCTTAAGCACAAGGCTCCTGCCTTACCTACTTTGAGGTTAGCAGGTCAGCTGATCAGCCGACTGCTCAAGGCCCCCAGCGTCCAGTGGGGACACAGAAGGAGGCCCCACATGCCAACCTCCTTCCCGATCAGCTACAATTCAATGTTCCCCATCAAAACTGCCTATACCAAATACTTCCCGAAGTCCCTTTATGGGTGGGGGTGAGTAAATATCATTGAAGGCTTAGGAGGTGGCCCTCTGTGGCTGTTTTGCTTGTCCAGTGTTCTGTCCCTTTCTCAGGGATGAGCACCCACACTTTCCTTTGGAGAAACACCAGCCCCACTCTGGGTCATGTGATTTGGGTACAGCTGGTCCCCCGTCCCCCTTCCAGGGGTGCGCACATCACCCAGGCTGGTCAGGGTGTTCCATTCCCCTGGTCACAGTGATTGGATAAGGGACAGGCAAGGGAGCCAGTCACAGCTGGTAAGGCTCAATCCCACAGTCTGCTGAAACTGGTGGGTAGAGAACCCCTCCTTGTGCGCAGCTGTGGAGCGGACAGGAACAGTGGTGGGGCCCTGAGTGGCTTAGGCATCATAACCCTCATCTGCCACCTCTCCACCCTCGCCAGCATTTTACAGATAAAATTGAATGTACCCGTGCAGTGTTAGTACCATCGAAAGAAAAGGCAATCCCTGAAAACATCCAAAAGCTTCTGAAACATTATATTTAATACTTAGGGTGTAAACGTTATAGGATAAAAGCAAGAGAGAAAAATCTGGGTGGGGAGAAGGGAGCTGAAATTCAAATATAACTCTCCGTTTGTTAACAAAAAAGAATAACCATCTGAGAAAATGCCTACTTATATATCTTTCTGTTTCTACAATCCAAAAGCTTTTTAGAGCAGTTATGGTGGATTGGGATTCAAAGATGACTAACGTTAACGGTGAGGTTTCTGCCTTCTAGGGGCTTTGCTAGAGGGGCATATCCTCACTTAGTGGCCACGCGTGGTCTGGGACGTCTAAGGGGAAACTGGGATTTCCTCTTCAGTGCGTAGGGGCCACAGTGGTGCCACCCTTGTCTGGGCATGTCCACTACTGCAGCTGGATGGGGTCATCTGAGCCTGGAGAGGTGGATTTCTAGACCAAATGACCTTGTTTTATCTCACCACACACTGACAATAATCGATAGTAGCTTCAAAAGATTCCTGCAAAGAAACAGCACTTTAAAGAGGGCACAAATAACCAAAGCACTAGTGAATAACAAGAAAATGGCAGTGCTGGCACCTTTCCCCCTCCTAGGCAGATCCTCATCAGCCACATTAAAAGGTGAAACCATCACTAACAGGATCTGGAGAGATCTGATATGGAGGCCAATCATTTGCAATTGGAAAATTACAAAGGCTATTTGACATATGAATTAATCCACCATAGCTAATAAGTGATGGGCCTTGCCTAAAGATATATTATGCTGGTACGGTCAGAATGTTTATATCCCCCTAAATTCAAATGTTGAAATCCCACCCCCGAAGGCGGTGGTATTAGAAGGTGTCTTTCAGAGGTGATTAGGTCATGAGGGTGGAGCCCTCGTGAATGGGATTAGTGGCCTTATAAACAGGCCCCCAGGGGACTGCCTGCCTCTCCTACCGTGTGAGGACACAGCGAGAAGGCACCATCTACAAGAAAGCAGGCCCTCATTGGACACCAAATCTGCCTTGATCTTGAACTTTCCAGTCTCCAGAATTGTGAGCAATAAATCTCTACTGTTCACAAACTACCCGGTTAAGGTATTTTGTTATAGCAGCCCAAATGGACTAAAACATATGCCTTAAGGTAAGAGGGAAACAAAGCTATCACAATTAGATACTCTAAATATAATCA